GTCCTCCCCCCGGAGATGCCATCAGGAGGGATGCGTGCCCTGCGGGGGCTTGGCTTCGAAGCCATAAGGGCTTTTTTTGTTGTTCCAAGCAGCGGATAAGCAAAGTGCAAAGTGGATAAGCAGCAGGGCTGGGTTTGAAACACATTGCAACAGTGCAGGGGAGATGGCCTTCTCGCCTGAGCGCCGGCTGCAAGAGAACGGGCTGGGGGATACGCAGCATCTGAGAGCAGGAGCTGGAAGAAAAATGTTATCTCACGGTATCAGGGGTTACTTTCAGACAATTAGAAAGCAACTCATTGTCCTCCAAATTGGGCAAACAGCTTTGATAGCAAGAGCAACTGAATATCTGCCACAAGGGTTTCAGTTTGCATGTTCTTCTCTCCCTGCCCTCCCTTCCCCTGAGTTTTTCCGCATCCACGTACCCCCAGCAGCTTCGTCTTTGCTGTGTGTGAGCTTGCAAGATCTGAATCTATTGGCAAGGCAAAAGATCAGTTTCCAAATAGTCTTGTTAAGAGGGACAGATCTAAGCAGTTTCTTAACATTACCTAATTGTCTGTATTTCCCTGCTGCAGGAGGGAATTGGACCGCTGTGATTTTTAAGTCTCTTTCGGAAAGAACAGGCACCACAGAAACATTTCTGGAGGTTCACAAGGAAGAAACCTCCATATACTTTGTTTTAGAAGATTAAATTTGTTCCAGCAGAGCTATGCTGATTTACAGTAGCTGAGAAACAGCAGTTGAGGTGTTTCCTCCCTTGGAAATCTCATTTATTTCTACACTTTCTCCCATAGACTTAATGGCGTCTAAAGTTTTAAGTATGATTAGTTACCAAAAAAAAAAACCCCAACCTCTGCTGTTGTCGTCTCACTAAAAAGTCACTTGTAAAGAGATCATCCTCTTGTTGCCCTGATGCCTCGGTGCTGGATTTGAGCTGATTTCACTTGCAAACAGGGAGTTTGCTGCTTTGAAAGCTGACGGGGAGCGCTGAACTCTTCGAGCTGTTGCTATTTTAAATAGCTTATATGGGAACGTTCAAACAGTGTCAACACCCGGATATGCAAAACTCATCTGTCATTGCGCTATTGTCCGTGTTCCCGAGGCTTTCTGGTTTGGCTTCTCAAGGCTGTTAAGGCACCGGCAGCGGCGGTTGGCATCTCGGCCGTCAAAGGGCAGAGGGACGGGTTTGGGTGGGGGTAAGCTGGCCTGGCTCCATCCCGGCCAGGGCGGCCGCCTGCACTCACGTCCCGGCAAACCTGGTCCCCAGCTGCAGCTCCGTGGCCGTCAGGCACTTCAGGTTGTCGTTGCTCGCGGCAGAAAGGGGTTTAATTCTTCCCAAAACCACGTTGCCCCAGGTGGAGGCTGTGGTGCTGCCCGACAGCACACAGAAATCTTGGCGGAGCTCTAAGTCCCCTCTAGGACCATTAGCAGT